CTGAACTGCCTGGCTTCCCATTTAAGACGCTAAAGGCTATACCCTGTAGCCGCTGGCAGGAACGCTTAATATCTTGTTTATTTATTGCATTCTGCGCGTTTAATTAACACATAATCCCTGTGTAAGTAATTACGCTGCTGCTCCAGCATTTGCTCCTCCTCGTGGCCTCCAGTCGCGTGATAGAATAATTCATCTTCATAAATATGCGCTGCACTCTCTACTCGGTTTTGTGGAAGGATGTGGGTTTTTGGCGGTCGGGGGCGCTTAAAAAGCATTAAGTTGCGCATTGGACACAGCACGACACGCCCCTGAGCGCCATTAACTCGGAACTGTGGGCGGTGGGCGGTGGGAGGGGCAGGAAGTGGACGCAATGGGATGGCCACGGCCATAAACACACTTATAAAACAATAACAAGGCCATGCCAGAGGAAATGTGACTGCGCTGAGAAAAAATACCCCCCGAATGTATCTGATAATTTTGTGTCTTGTTCACATTAATATTATTTTTCATGAAAAAAAAGAATATTTTTAAAGTTAATACATGTTTAAATTATATATAATATTATTTTTCGTCAAACAAAAAAATATTTTTAAAGTTAATAAATATTTAAATTATATTTTACTTAGTTCCGATTAATGTCTTAAAATATTTATTTTAAAAATAGCTTAGGAATGTCTTTAAAAACCCTTTTTTTAAATTATAACCGTTGTCATTTACCTCTCAAATGATTTTAAAATAGACTTTAATCTTGTCAATTCAGTAGGATATATAAATATAATTAAAAATTTGTAGAATAGCTAGGTTCAAATATTTTGGAAAATGTGTTATATTTCACGAAATTAATAAAGATAGATAATAGAATCTACAATCTATAAACCAAAATTTATTCTGAAACGGCGAGACATATTCGGATAAACGGATGACATGATTCTTTAAAGGCAATACAGAACATTTCCAAATACAAAAAATGTTTTGTTTTGGACTATATTTATATCAATTTTCTCTAAGTGCATAGGGACAACTTACCATCAGCTGTTGGATTCTCACAGAGCCACATCTTGCAACAGTGGCCGGGAACTTCGACGAGGCGCGGCGATCGGCAGGAAATCGTGTCCTCGGGCGCCGGGAGCTGCTCGTTGGGGCAGAGCGTCGAGCAGGCGTGGCGGCCATTCTGCAATGCCACATTAAAATACATTAAATGTGGCCCATTGTTGCTGCTGTTGGGTTGTTTATTTAGCTTTGGCCGGGCAGCCCAAAAATAAAGTCATAATGTAACGAAAATATTGGCCCAATCGCACAAGGATGGCCAAAAACTTGGCAGGGTCCTCGACTTGGCCACGAACTTTTGCTTGGCGTGTGCTTTCTTTTTGTTTTCTCTGGTATATGGGGAAATTAACATTTCGTGCGGACCCTCACTGCTTTGTTTGTAATCCACTTTTAGTCTCTAAGCGGTCACAGTCCGATGATACTTTTTTTTCCCATCCCCAGTCTTTTGCATCGTCACGAAATTGCATTGCATAAATTGCAAGTTCTTGTGTTTGTGTTATGCCATATGATAAACTACCGGCGCAGCTGGAAATAAGGTGCAAAAACCAAACCAGACATGGAAAAACTACACAGGAGCACTTATAAAGCTGGGCTCTGGCCATAAAGCAATGTCGGGGATTTAGCTTTTCTTTTGTTTGGACTTTGCTCATAAGATAACTTTGGTAGCTGATTTATTTGCAAGGATACAGGAGTCTATTTACTTTACTATTTACTATTACATTAAATATTTTAGATAGATAATTGCTGTAGTTATGTAAAATTTGATTCAATCTAAACAAAAGAAGACCTCAAAACCTAGTAAATATGAATTCTTTAATGGTAATAATTAACTTGCTGATATTATGCCTGCGAAGAACCTTTTAAATTTTACAATTTAGCTAACAGTTCTGAATATATTTTGTAAATTTTACTTCAATTGCCAATTAAATTTCTATAAACGTTTTTCCCGAGTCGAAAATGTATAATGTCTGTTTAACACAGTTCTAATCTCATTAGCGAAACATAGTTTTTCGCCATTATAGCCGCTATCAAAAACTACTGTGCAACGCCGCACTTGTAATTCCGGGCATTTCACACTATATTTAAATTTTAATTAAAATCGCAACCCGGCAAAGCAATTCACATTCAAATGGCGCAAGTGCTGGCACTAATCCCACCAAATATGGAAAAGGCCAAAACGATGGCTAAAAACTAAAAACGGGAAAAGCGAGACTAAGCACAGGTTAAACAACAGCAATGGCAACGAGAATCGTTTAACGAAACTGCAGTTGGCTTTCGGCCGGAATGCTTTCTGTGCTTTCTATGCCCCAATATTTGTATCTGTGTATATATAGTACATATCTCTGGATGTCTGTGGTTTGTGGCCAACTCTTGTGCGGATGGCCCTCAGCATTTGGCCAACGGCTGTGACCTCCGACCTGCAAACCTGGTACCCGCGACTCACCTCGCAAACGCATTGAGTTTTACAATCCAATTTAAATGTGACTCCATGTGCGAAAGTTGTGTTGCCAACGCTGCAATTGGCTGCAGGCGAGTCCCAGGCCAAGACCAAATCCCAATCCAGATCCAGATGTTGTGTTGGTTGCCCCATTGTTGTCACCAAAAAATAGTTGAGAAAATAGAAAATATAAGGGTAAGAGTGAGCATAAAAATGGGAAAGTTTTCAACAGTAAATGGGAGGCCAATTGAATTGCGCATAAACTCTTTAAAGGCCATTCGAACTTCAAAGATTCCTTTGGCAATCAGTTCCCTGACTTGTTTATTATTATACATTTCATTTCACTTCACTCTGCCTTCATTCCACTGCTAATTTATATCATCAAATGCGTAATACATGTCGTATGTGCAATTCCAATGAATGGGAACCCAATTAATGTCAGTGCTGTTTGTTATAAATTTCGCTAGAATCGCATATTTACAGGGCAAACAATAGACCTGCTGCCAGGCCATCGTTTGCCTTCGTGTCTCATCAAAATTGATATTGACAAATGCCGCTGCTTTATGGCATGCCATTAGCCCGCAAAAGTTTTTTTTTGCCTCATTCTTTGTTTTACAGAGAGAAAAACCAATATTAGTTTGCTATTTTTGCTGAATTGTTGAGACTTAGGACAATTTTTGACTTAAAACAAATTATGGGTGGCCAAAGGATCCTACTTATTATTGTGGTTATTGGCAAGTAGATAGTGACAGATCAATACAATCCATGTAATTAACGGGTAACATTTATGGGAGTCTATTTTTAATAATTGTTTAAAAATCAGTCGACTTTATTATATTGATACAAAAATGATCTGTCTGATTGCATGAACTTCATGAAAAGCCATCCTTGAAATAATTGTTTTTAGTAATTTAGTATCTTTTCGTGTTTACCACATGTGTCGAAATTAATAGAGATCTTCTAAGGTGTGGAGACTGTACTGCTGCTAATGTGACTAATTGCATTATTGAAAATGATACGGGATGAGGATGATATGAATTCTAAAACAAATTGCCTTTAACCTACTGTAGTTATCCGCAAGAACTTTCCAAATTCACAAGCAAATACAATAATATAGTAGGGTTTTTTCCGAATCATTCAAATAACCAAATGAAAGCAGTAACACGAATTGTTCAGAAATTGAGCCTTTGCAAGGGTCAAGGAACAAGGATTGTTAATACGATTCGTGATATAAATTGTACTATTTCCATTACTTGAAACTTTTTTGCAGTGCCTCATTGCTGTTCCTGTTGGAGTCCTTGCGCAGGTTCTGGTTTTGGCCTGGCCAAAAACTCGTGTGTGTAGCCGCCAATCACAATTACTCGGGCTTGTGGCGGAGGAGCATTTGCAATCGCACAGTGGAGCTGATTTTGGCTCGTAGACACAGATTGTGGGAGCAGCGACCGAAGGGGACCCACCCACCTGTGTTTTTCTGTGCAAGGGGATCGGGTACGTGCCCTGTACTTTTCCACTTTGAATTGATTTCACTGGCAACGTGACTTTTACGAAGGACGAGACAAACGTGTGCCTCCGCCTCCTTGGGCATCATCATTCATTTGGCATCAATGGTTAATGCGAAAATTGGCATTGCCAGCTGATTGTAATGAATATGGTCACGTTGTCGCATCTTTATGGCATTAGCAATATACGTTTATTATTGAAAAGTTCCCGGCGAACGTCGGACAATGCCGGAAGTATCTGCGAGTAGGGCGCCCTTTGCTCCTGCGATATCGTGTCATTTTCCAAAGTGCAATTTTCCTAATGTGTTTTTCCCTTCTCACAAGAAGACGTCTACATTAAACATACACAGACAAAACTCGACATTGAGTATAACATTTTTGAATATGCACTTGTGTGGGAGCTTTGTCTGGGTGAGTTCGCTTCAAGGAATCGCGTATTCCCTGCGAATCAAGGTAAACTGAATGGCGTCTGCCACAACTACGCATTCTAAAGAATTCGGTAAATCTCTTACCTTAAGAAAATTTTAAGTTTAATAAATAATCGTACATAATCCTATTTTTAATAATTTAACTTTTAAAAACCATTAACAAATTATAAACCTTTTTTCATCACGTTAAAGTACGAAAATATTTTATAGTAGTTAACAAGAACTCAAAAGTTATGGAAAAAAATGTATATTCAGATGGGCCTGGCAAATGTAATACAGTAAGAAATAGTTACAATAGTAATGAAAAGTTTCAGACGATAGTAGTTATTAATGCTAAAAAAAATAATAACCGAAATTTATTCCAATTAAAATAGTCCTCGTTGGTGATAAACAGTTTATTAGAACTCGAGATAAAATACTCGAGATTATAATATTTTATACACTTAAATGGTACCATTTAAAAGTTCACTTTTATAAATCAGGGAGCTCAACATTACTAGGAAGCATAACTCTACTAGGTGAAGCATTTTAACGTTTTAATTTTTTAAACTCCTATAATTATTCCATTAAATCTCGTTTCAACTTTGAGTATCAATGTAATGTAAAATGATTATTTATCAACTTTGGAATCTTTCCAACAATTATACAGTAAATTTGCTGATAATATTTTTATTATCAAGATCTACACAATCATGAAAAAACAATCTAAACAGGAAGTCGTTTATTATACCTAAAAATATAAAAGGGCACCACCAAAATGATTTCGAACCATTCGGGAAAAAATTGTAAAATGGACCTCAACTTTTCATTGCTATGGCTGATAATAATCGTGCTAGAAATTGTAAAACCGTCTTTTGAAACTAACTACGAATACGTTTTGGAGGACGAATCGGTATTTAATGATTGTGTGGATAATCCCCCTGGATATTCAAATATTTCTGGACTGTTCGATCTTTCGCATGTCAACTTTGAAATGGGTCCAGAGGGAATTCACGTAGAGGGCAAATTAATCTGTTCATGGGACATTCAGCCAACCGATCTCATTGAAAGTCAAGTTAGCGTCTTTCATTTGGATCGTGGTACTTGGAAACCGACCATACTTAACTTGACGATTAAAGATTTTTGCAAAATACATCTCGACCCGAAGCAATATTGGTACAACGTTTATCCAAAATATATTATCAATAGAGAGGAAGCTAAAGAAAAATGTTATAACTACATTGGAGTATGTGTGATATATGCGATAAAGCTTATTTGCTATTTTTACAAATTTTCTATTTGCAGACTGAATATTTTTTTGAACCGTTTATCATGAAAATGTATTTTGGCGCAGGCTTGAAGATTCCACCTGGAAGAAAACGTATGGTATTTATCTTAACAGCGATTGATGTGAATAATGTAAGACGTCCAAATGGAATTTGCTTTGAGATAAAAGGAGAATTTGTAAAGGTTTGAGAAAGTAATTAAAATAATATGCTTTTTGCATCCGTTAAACTAAACTTCAGTCTCGAGAAATATTTATTTATAGATTGCCCAAGAGAGCAACGGATTTATTAAATATGATTTCATCGAAACCATATACACTATTAAACACCAAAATATTTTATAATTAATAATGCAATATAACTTGTTTATTGAATCAACACAATAATGTTACAAAATTATCAAGATCTCTTACGAAATGCAATCACGATTAAACAGTTTACATAGCCAAACATTGCACTGAGAGAATAAAGACGACGAAAAATTTAAAATTCTGTATTAAATATCATTGTTCCCGAATTGTGTGTCTTGCAATTGGTAAATATTTTCTTAAATTAGAACTTTGTTGTTGGAGATTTCCGATTTGTAAATAATATGTCCCAAGCTTTTAGTTTTTTTTTTAATTCAAGAACACTTAAAACAATTCGTGTTCAACTTACTTTAAGTACAATTCTGTCTGGATTCCAGTCAATTTTCTTCATTTTTAAAAGTTCTGACAGTTATTTTATGTTGGCTATTACTTGCATTTATAGAAAGTCCTGTTATAGTATCACCAAGTACTTTTTTTATGAGAACAAAATAAGATGTTACTTGTACATCGTTAGAAATAATTTTTCATTTGGTACAGGGAAAGTTGAAGTTAATGTTGGGTTGGGTGCGTTTTTTAACGGTTGCTTTTGGACAGTATTTAGGGCGTTACTTCGCAAAGCACTCTCAAGATTTTCGCTATTTCTGTCAGGGTACAAACATAATATACAAACATTGCCCCGCTAAAACTCGATGTCTTGCCTTTCGAAGTGAACTCTTGCCACGGTGTCTACCCTTTCTGTTGGTGTGGCACATTTTTTGTGACCCCGTGTCCCTTTGTTCATCACCGGCCCCGCCCACCGCCAGGCGCCCTGTTTGGGGTCACGTGTGCGCAGTTTATTTGTTTTATGCGGCCTCTGTGAGGCTCTGCCTTCGGACTTGGCCCTCCTTTGGTTGTGTGTAGTGTTTGTTTTACTTAGAGTTTTAGATTTACTTAAGTCGTTGATGACCATGACCAAATAAAGTTTCATTTTGAGCAAAGATTTACAGCACTCGAGCGTGTGCGACAAGTTTTGAGTGCCCTCCGCCGTTGGCCCTCCGCAGCGGATCATGGAAAAGGCTACGGCAAAGGCGGTCCAAACAAAAGTTCCCAAAGAACGCTTCTAGCTGCAGCCCACGCTGCGTATGCGCAATTTTTGCTTGTCGAGTGTTTGCCTGGGACATCATGTGATTGAACGGTGAAAACTGTGCCCAATTCTACTTCAGAAACTAAAATCTGCTCTAAAGATTGCCAATGGCCCTAGGCCATGTTTGAACACACTTGGCAGAGATTTCTGTAGGAAATCCAAAGGTACGGACCAGTACTAGCAAGTTAAACAAGCTCAAAAGCCAAACAAAAAGTGTAATCTCTTACAAGGCCAATTAAATTAAAATCTCACAGAGTAAGTTAATAAATTGAAAATTGGAGCATGTTGTTTTTAATATATTTAAATATATGGTATCTATATGTATAGATAGAGCAAAGCAATATATCAATATATAAATTTATAGTAATCCAAAAGATTAGGTTGTTTGATTTTTATAAAAGATTGAAAATATTAAGGTAAGTTTTAAAGTTATCGAATCGTAATTATTATTACCAGTTGAATGAATATTAATGCAGAAAGTGAAATACTTTTAAGGGGGTAGACATTTATTACAACTTGTATGATTGCATAAAACATGTGAAAAGTGCCTTTCTTTTGAAAGGTAACTTTGAAGAACTTTTCCTGTATATGACTCCGTCATTCTATGACGTCGCCTGCAAATGATATGTTCTGACTAATCTTTGGAGCTCATTCGGAGTAAACTTTCAGGTTCTCGGGTTCTTTGTGAGAACTATTCATTGCTTCACGTATTCACAAATATGTTTGGCCAAGTTCACAGCGACTCAGCATTCTTCGTGTTCCGATAACTTTCATATTTGGGCCAGAAGGAGATGCGTATAAAGACCAAGTTCTACAGTTTAAATAAACTTGTTCCGCCCTGCGTGGACAATGCATTCAGGCCCTGAACGATTGAAGTCTACACGGAAAAAAACATAAAAATAATACATTTTCATGGCGATATGAGCAATGCGAGTGAGACTATAAGACAACTTACGTCACCCACTTAAATTCAAATCTTATGTTTAGATATTACAAGGACAATTTTTTTTTGTTGGTTAGCACCTTAACATGACTATTTTAAAAACGTTTGTTTTATATCAAAAGTATATAAATAGAAACAGGCGTTAAGCCGAAAGAAAAATAAAAAAAAGTGTCAGGGAAAATTTTCTTAATTTGGCAATTATCTTATATTACCTAACTGTATTTATTAAATTTAAATAAATTTAAGAGTTATAGGAAGCTATCAAAATTATTAAGACTGTAATTACAAATTCAAAATTTGTAATGGCTGGCTTGGAACTGCCGAACACCCTGAAAAAATTAAGTAAGACGTTCAGTAAATAATTTGATTTTTATAAATGTTTTCATATTTTTATTTTTTAGTTTTATTAAAAATTGTTAGCTATTACAGTCGAATCCAAAAAGATTTTGTCTTGTTATTTTGTTATGTATTGTCATGTTGCAACAAATTTTTTAGTACCTGCCGACAGAGTATTACTAAAATTTGGAGTTAATATTTTAAACCTCTATTTTTCAGGATAATGGTATGACTGGGAAGACAAACCTGAATTTGAACATATTAAACAAACATTGGAGTTTTTTTTTTATTTTTTCCCCGTGTGGTTTCCAGCCAACGTGGGGGCATTGATATGACCCGGGGCACAACCAGTCGGAGGACTACGTGCCAGGCCCAGGAGCTCAGCTCAGCTTGGCCGGCTAACTTTTATTTTGGCCCTGGTCATACACAAACTGTATTGGCATTTGACTCAAAACTTTTGACTCGAACGGGGTGTGGGGAATATGGGCCAATATTATATATACATGTGTATATGCAGCTATTCTGGCAGCACGATATGGGTTGGATTTGTTGTAACGCCCTCGGATCGAAAAGTTTCTGGCACAGTTCGGACTGCTGCTGTTTAATTTTGAACAGCTTTCTACGACATCATGTGGGGGCATTGAGAACAGGAAAAGAGCATGGAAAATGGCACATGTCGAAACGAATTGAACACACACTCCCCCTCCAAAGGAAAAAAACTGGGTAAAAATGGAACATGAAGAAAAAGAATCGAACATAAAACCATTAAAATCACTTTACTCGTTAGTTAGGCATTTGAGCTGGTGTGCGTGTGACTGTTTCCCAGGATATGGGATCTACTAAGTCGGGATCTACTGGATATAGGTGCACAATAAATGTTCGGAAACGGGTCCACAACTTTCGCCAGAGCGAACAAAAAGCAACGTTTCCTGTCTGCAAGTTTTAATGAAATTTTTGGCTCTTCGTTTGTGTCCGGCTATTTGGTATTCCTTTTTTTTTACTAAAAAAGCTGTCAAATTGGGCTTATTTAGTCGAAAAAACACGTAAATGAACAACAAAAATCAAAAATGTATACAGTTTCGTCTAGAACCTTACCAATTTCTTCAAGCTTTATCTTTTTAAACGTTTAGTATACTGCACCATTTTTGAACGCTACAATGGTTAAGCCACAATTTTACTTGGTTTTACCAAATTCCCAATGTAAATTCCGTAATTTTTTGTCTTTCCCACCACAAAACTCAGGCATGAATATTTATTGGTCAAAGTCCAAGTGGAAAACTCAAATTTAAAATAATGGCCTGGCAAAATGAAAAATAAATACATTTTCCCAGGGCTTTCTTGGTTTTAGCTAGAAGTTGCACTTTAAGGAAATCATTTTGGCGTGCCCCATTCAGGGAAGATGATGATGACAGGACAGGCCTTTGATTAATGAAGCATACAGTAAATGTAATTCGTAAATCTTCTTTCACAAATCAATTGCAAATACGCATTGACTTTGTGCAATTCAATTTCTGAGCGAAATCCTAAGGAACTTACCCGGATTCGGATGCCTGGGCAACTGATCCAGCGACGGCGGATAGGATTGCATAATTAGGGAAAGAGCATTAATGGTATTCATAAAGACGTTCATGGCTGCCTCGTTCTTGTTCAAAAACTCACTTTGATGGCCTTAAAGCCCAGACTCAGACTCGCCTCGACTTCAGCAACGAGACCATTACCAAAAATCCCCAGCAGCGGCAGCAGTATCAGCATTTTCTGTAAGTAGATAGATGGTATGGGATTATTTGGTGTGGCTGGAAAGCAAGGTAAAAAAGGTCGAAGCAGTCGCAGTCGACTTTATTAAGGTCAATTCAATGTCTGGCTCGGTTTTTGGTTACGGCTAATGGTTACGACTACGGCCATGGTAACGGCTGTTCACGCTCATCCCCAAGTTTTGCATTTCAGTTTGGATGGGTTTCTTTTTGCCTCTTTTTAGATTTTCCAGGGATTTTCACACCTGCACCCACCTTTAATATTTTTCACACAGACAGCAGACGAAGTTTTTATGTTATTCTTTTTGGCGGCTGGCAGAGGGGTAATTAATCTGGTTACTAGGATAAAGTACTCAATGAACAGGTACTTGTTAAAGTTCTGGCATAGTTATCATATTGCTTTTTATACAGTGTTTTTTAGGGCAAGGTTAATGTTCATTTCTTGCTAATTTGCACTTGGCTTTTATAGCTTAACCAAATTAAAATAAAATAAGGATATATATTCAACTGAATATTAGAAGCGACCTTGCCAAAAATATGCATAATTAAAATTTAATTTAATACATATTTATTCAAGCACTCTTTTATTATAACTCAGTCTATCAAATAAACTAAAAACCACAGAAAATGCAATAATAATATGCATAATCAAAATTTAATTTAATACATATTTATTCAAGCACTCATTTATTATAACTCAGTCATTCAAATAAACTAAAAAGCACAGAAAATGCAATATTAAATTTAGATTACAAGTTAAAGTGATTGTCTGCTAATTGCCAATTTTGTGTATCAAATTTCACAGATAACAATACAAATTTAATTGTTTCCCTTGAGAGCTTTTTCCCTAAAGACAAATAATGACCAGATCAATAAAACTGCTAATTGATTTCCATTCACAGGTAAACTGAACGACGGAAGTTGCATTTTTTCAGAGACAAACAACTGCAATTGCTGCGGATGAGCACATTTAATAATTTTCCCTTGTTCCCCGAGGCTTAAGCCGCCCCAAAGTCATCGGCATTTTCACACTTTCGCGTTAAATGAAAAATGTGAAAAGCGATATATTTATGGTGGATCCTTTACGTCTGGGAGTGGTAATTATTTCGCAAACTGCTCGTCTGTGTGCGCTCCTTTGTTTGCAATCAATTTACGCGCTAAGAACACGCATACGCCGTGTTGGCAGCGTGGCAGCGTCGTGTTTTTTCATTTTGCGCACAAAAGGCGAAAAAAGCTCATTAAAAAATATTTTCCACTCATGCGTGAGCATTTTAAAAAGGTATTTAATTAAACTTTAATAACAAAAACAATAAGCGGTGGGCTGCAAAGTGGAAAAACAAAAAGTTGGGGGGGGGGGGTTTAATGCGAAAGATTTCAATTAACGACACGGACCTCGTGAGCTGCTAAGTGGATAAACAGGACGAGGACAACCCAGCTGGGCGACGGATGAGTGGCCATCACTCATGGCCAACTCATGTGGAACGCCCATTCGGATGCAGAGGCACTGCATCAGCGGACTGCATTGAATGCTGCTTCATTAAGGTGCCGCTCCAAGGAGCTATCCTTGTCGTAATTATTGCAATTACAATG